TGTGAGAGAACCATCAGAACCCCTCTCCCCCTCCTTTTTCTAACTAGGCTAGTCTGTTGCCCTACCCAAGAAAGAAGAGTGTTTGCTTCCTGGCCATTGTGCTGCACAGATCTCAAGAGATCTACAAAAAGTATACTGCTGCAGAGGTCCTCTGCCTTCAGTTCCTTAGCAGCCTATTTCTACAAGATGTACTCAAAGGTTGAAGGCTGGTTGGAACTTTTTAATCAAAAGGTTTCAGGAAAAAAACAAAAAGAGAGAGCAAGACTGCCCCAGAGCCAAAGGTACTTCCCTGGAACTTGGGAGACCCAGGTTCAATTCCCTGCCTTGCCAATGACACCCTTTGTGGCCTTGAGCAAATCACTTGGTTTCACTCTACAGAAAAAGCATGCTCACCATTAGCTTCAATTTTATCTGCAATTCCTATAGCACTGTTGATATATTATGTTGGTATGATGGACATTAAATGTATATACCTTAAAGCACCATTTCAAAGCAAAAGCTTTCCTTGCAATCATGGCAGTTTTTGATGAGGAAAGCTTTTTCAGATCCGGAAAAAGAACCCCGAATATCCAATAACCAAGTGGTTAGGGGACTCATTTGGAAATGGGAGATGGGCTCAGGGTGCTGCTTCAAGTCAGGCAGACTGGGGGCATTAATCTGGTCTCCCATATCCCAGGTGAGAATCCTGATCCTATCTATGACTTGGATATTCTTGGATTTTTCTTGCCTGTTTTCACAGAAGTCATCCTGATGCAGAACAGGAAAATATATGAAATCTTGAAATTTGGCCAGGAAAACTATATCATGTATAGCTCTAAACATTTCCCACCTTTCCAGGCCAGGCAATAGAGACTCAGAGATTAAGTGAAGGGTGAGGGACATCTGGACTATGAATATGCAAACAAGCTACCACAGTATAAAAGGTAGGGCAGGGCTTTATCTCGTCACAGATCTTCTGCATTAATTAGGTGTATGTAGACTTGTACCTCATTCAAGTTAAGTTAAATTGCAGTAGCTTACCTGTCAGTGGGCACGTCTACGTGTGCATTAATGCATTTTAGTTAATGCTCATTAAATCTAGTACCTCCACTGTGAGGTATTAGGAAAATGCTCATTAGCCTGTCTTAATGTGCATTAACTAAAGAGCACAGTTGTTAATAATGCTCAATGCACATTAGCTAATTTTAATGCGCATTAACTAAAAGCATGGGGCACCAATACATGTGTGCTGGAGTCTCCTGGAGCATGGTAATTATAGTGTCATGTGTATCAGTGTCCCTGCATTGAAAAATGGTGGTGGAGGCACTTTAACTAAAACTCTTTCAACGAGCTTTAGTTAAAGTACCCCTACCACCACTTTTGATTGTGGGGACGCTGATATACAAGATGTTCCTGGTGCTTTAATTAGAGAAGGAAGCTTTTGGAGCTTCTCTAATTTAAAAAGTCCCCCACCCAGGAACATGTATAAACACCCATAGTTTTTTTGTGACACTTTAATGTGCATAAATAGGCTAATGCACATTCAAGTGCAGGTGGAGACATGCTCAATGACAGAAGTAAGTTACCACTGAACTTGGTGCATCATAAAGCCCTGCTTTCTTCAGGAATTTTGTGATACAGCTTGGAAACAAAAATATTACTCACCAATATAAAAGACCAGTGTCACATCTACTAATCCAACCCCCCACCAAAAAAACCCCCCAAACCCCCAAGAGAATGAGCAGACAGACATACCAATCACCTACAGTTAGCAGAATTCATGTGGAGATCCCCACTTTCAACTAGTACAGATTAGCTTAACTCCAGTCAATGTAGTTATGCTGATTTGTGCCACTTAATCTTGTTCTTAAAACTTTCTCAGCTGTAGCCTTAAATGCAAGCTGAAAAAATACAAAAATATCTGAAGTCTTTAAAGATAATTTTAACTGGCATTGTTCTGCAAGTGCCTTCTTCACATACCTCCTCTTTGGAATCTGTAGGGAGGGCTATAATATTTTATAGGGCAGTTATTCAATTATTGACTCCAAAGAAGAGAGAGACTAATCAAAGCAAGCAAGACCAAAGGAACAATAAATATTAGAGACAGCACAATGATTAGAGGGACACCATTATGTGGATCAGTGTGTGTGGCTACAATCAAAATACTTGCTTGGTAATTCACAGCAGAAGCACACATTTAATATGGGAGAATCAGGGGCCTGCAATCATGCAAATAGGGCAGCTACATCAGAAAACCACCCCATTTCCTAGTAACTGACTTTGCTTTCCATCTGTTAAATGCTACCTACAAGGTCACTGGAGTACAGACCTGACATTTTCCTTATGTTAATAACAACTACATTTTCCTGTTACAAGAAGTATTTCATTTTAGGCTACTCTTGATCTTGGTCTAAAATAAAGGACACTGCTTAAAAACAAAGGGCAAGGATCAGTTTCAATGACAAAAGCTGCCATTTGGCAATGCCTATTCTGAAATTAAATCATTGTTTTTGATTCCATGCTGTTACAGAAAATCATTGATTATAAAGAGGTTAAATTGGAGAGGGAAAAAACGGTTCTTTGCTCAAAGCGCAAACACTATAAGCATTATTGTAAACAAGAAGGATTCAGTGGACACAGCATCAGTGGAAAAAGGTGGCATTTCAAAAGTAAGCAAGTAGAGGAAGAGTAACTAAAAATAAGGAGCAAGCAACAGTCCAGGCAGTATTCAGTCATTGTGAGCTTGATCTTGAAGGGTTTCAGCACTGAAAACCTTCAGCTTTCAGTTCATGAGAGCATTTATACGTCAACAGATAAAAGGTCCAAGTGACTTACAGCCAAAGTCTGCCCTGATATAATATCAATAGCATTGCACAGAGTGAATGCCAGCAAAATATCATCTGCTGTGTATTGTAGGCTGACAGAGGCAATGTTAATACTTGGATCAGGTTTGGTTTGGTTTTTTTAAGTCCAATCCCACCTTTCCCACTTTACCACACTCATTTTAGTCTAACATATGGGAAGGGTTTATATGAGTATGTAGAGCATGGAAATCAAACGCAAGCAGGAGTTCTAGCAGCTGGAATTCATGATGTTCCATATTCAGACAGATATTAGTGATTCTTTTGCACACTTTGTAAAGAATTAAATTAATGATTTGGGGGGAGGTAAGGATAAGAAAAAATGTTAACATATGGGGAGCACAGTCCAGTCTCATTAACTTGCTGTACTTTAATAAGATACATCCACTTATGTCTTCTGGTCTATATTAATATTAAAGAAAATTACCAGGAAACAAGATACAAATGCAGTTAATTATGCACAGTATGTTACAGAAAATAAATGATTCTGCCTTATTTATGACCTATTTGTATAAATCCAAATATGTGGTGCACCTCTGTAGGCTATAATGTCAGTGGAATTTATACCCGTCTGTCCTTTGATTTTCTTTTCTATCCTTGTATGCTATTAATGGATGCAACAGTAGATAGAGCCATCACATTCAGCACTTAATCAGCATTTAACCTGTAGCTACCCTTGTATATAGACTATATGACATGAGAACAGGATAATTCCCAGTCATATTTAAAGGATATGAATTAACCTGGGCAAACAGCACTTTATCTTGTTCTTTTTGACCAAAAACTAAGCTCAGTTCTTTATTTTGTATGATGGCTTCCGATAAACAAAACATTACTTTTATATGCAGGTCAGCTAGTTGGGCCTCAGATACATGCCAAAGTAATCATTTTTCATGAGCAAAGTGTAGTGCATGTTAAGTTTAGGAGCAGGCACTAAAAATAGCCCTTTTCTCTGTAGCTGAAGGAATAAAGTCCTTATTGGATTTAGCCTTTTATGGACCTAACAGGCAAATCAATCGAGCCCACATACAAAATACTGACACCAAACCCATCCTAACCATTAATGTGACTACTAGAGGTGTTAATATATGTGCTCCGGGAGTAGAGGAGGGGCTTTAGATCAAGTGCCCCGCCACCATTTTGAAGTGTGGGGACACTGATACATGAGACACAGGAGGCTGCTGGAGCGTGGTAATTGCCATGCTCCAACAGACTCTATCAATTGAGTCTGCTCCAACGTGCTGGATTTACAGTGCATCGGAGCAACCTCCCTGCTCACGTGTAGGCACCCTGGTGGGCAAGTGGAGCTGAAGTCTTAGTGGATGCCTAAAAGGATGTACTTGAATGGAGACAAGGGGGGCACCTCCACCTTCCCCTCTGCATTCTGCATCTTCCCTGCATCAGTTCTGGGAGCCAGAGGAGCTGGGAGATTGGCATGAGTGAGAGTCCAACTTCTGGGGGAAGGTGCTGCTGTCGGGGGGAAATGCCCATATTGCCAGGACATTTAGCTTGCCCTAAGCACAAACTTTATCATTTATACATCTAACCCAAACTACTAGGTCCCTTCCTGTTCATCTTTGACGAAACCTGGGTGCCAAGAGTTCTGCTTCTCTTCATGTTCAGAATTATCCCAGTGTGAGCAGGTCACCAAGTGCTCCCAGACCTGTAACGTGAAATGCCTAAAAAAACTTGTTGGATTAACATGAAAAAATAAAAATCAGGGATCAGTCCCTCTTCCTATGTAAGTTCCCTAACTGCCAGGTTACAGAATATGCTCGCTTTTGTTCTGCTTCTCTCTAGACCCATGAACCTTGCATTCTTTCCAACACAGGGGCACAGCCTCAACAGGAAGAAGACGGGATGCCCATAACTGGACTAAGCCAGAGCTTAACATTTAGAGCATTGTTTTGAGGAGCGGGAGATGCAGATTTGAACTCCCTCAACCTGATGAATAGTTAAAACCAGGTCTCCCACTTCCTGGGTAAGTGTACTGACCCCTTGATTTTCCCGTTTGAGACAGGTTTTCCTTCTTTTCTTTCTTTCTTTTTTTCAATGGAAACAACTTAGGTTTTGATGCTCCAAGATATGGGTCCTCCATTTTTAATTTTCCAAGGGAAAAAAAAAGGGAAGTGTCAGTTTGTCAACCAGAGATGGGCAAACTCTACCCCATGGGCTGGATCCGGTTGGCTGTGCAGTCCATTTCCTAGCAGCCCCTGCCCTCATGGCTTGGGCTGGTCTCCATGGGGACCCCAGCTGCATCTGAGTGATAAAGCACAAGCTGGGGTTGCCATGGAAACCAGCCTGGGCCGCACTGGCAGCCCATGCAAGCAGAGCAGCACAGGGGCCTATCTGGAGCCGCTGGGAATGTGCAATGGGGGCAGCTTGCTTCAGAGCCTGCACACCCCTGCCCAGAGCGTGCGGGCTACAGATCACAGCTCTGCTCTGGCGCCAGAGCAAGCTGCCCCCATCCCAAGTTCCCAGTGGCTCCAGAGCAGCCCCCTGCCCTGCTGTGCCATGTGCGTTGCCAGCATGGCTCAGGCTGGTCTCCATGGCAACCCCAGCCTGAGCTTTCCTGCACAGGTGTGGCTGGGGTCTCCATGGAGACTGGCCGAGCCATGAGGGCAGGGGCTGCTGGGAAATGGAGTCCGGCTCCTGGCCAGATCGGCCATTTTGCCCACCCCTGCCTTGCACAAACATTGTTCCAAAGTTTTTGTAGGGACAAATTTCTCAATTCCTAGATGGAGTTTCTGATCACAGAGCAACCTACCCTGAATAGCTAAAAACCTAATGTTTAGGAGGGTCACCCATTCTAGATAAGGTAGAGCAGAAACTCAGAATCCCTTTCCAGCACCTCAAATCAGTGTCTTAAACAACCCATGGATTATTTTATGGTGAGAGGGTTTCTTGCTGCATGCACACCCACACCCAAAGTCTTTACTCTACCCCAATGGAAAAAGAACAAATAATTTTATTTCTATTTTAATAGAAACTTAAAAGGGAGAAAAAGGAAAAAACAATGTTCCATCCATCTCTAGTAATGAGTCTTTAGTGCTTATACCTTAAAATCAGCGGTGGTCAACTTGTGACAGAGGCATCACAAGTGACACAGGCAGCCTCAGTGTGTGGCATGTAGCAGAGGGGACAGAACAGGTAGCACAGAGGCTGATAGGGCAGGAAGCAGAAAGCAAAGCAGCAAATTGGGCAGGAAGAACAGAGAAGGAAACAGGAAGTAGAGCAGCAGTTCAGGCAAAGGAGGGGATTGGAGTGGCATTCAGGGTGAGTGCCGGGCTAATTTGTGACAGACCCACCAAAAAGATTGGCCCCCACTTCCTTAAACTGTCTCTAACTGGTTACTTTAAAAAATATAAATAAATAAATAAGACTGTACCTTAGCAGCATTCCTTGTGTTGGTGCAATAGTTATTTCAATTATGTTTGTAGCAGCTGCCACATCTTTTGTTGCAGAGAAGACTGTTTAGCGAAAGTAAAGGGATGTTGAGTCTGACTTTCATTAATGGCATTATCACAACACAGGTAGTTGTAATGGATTCTTACTATTCTGACACTGTTGCATGTTGATGCTCCCATTTTCTTGCAGTGCGTCTGCCTCTATCTGATTAGCATCAGTTTGGAAGATGTAGACCACTCCCTAGAAAGTTTCTTTCCTTCCAATATTACAGTATGAATAAAATAAAATATTTCTTTCCCAGAACCTAGATGAACTTCTTCCTTGATACAAAAGGAAGAGATGAATGAGATTTCCTGACACAAGCACTGACCTGGGTTCCCCTTTGCTAAGGTAACTCAT